ACCATGAGGGGCTCTTCACATTATAGCAAAGCATTATCAAAGCCCCTCCTTCCCTTCTATTTGGCCACACAGCTTCTCTTACAGTTTTCCCTTTAAAAATCTCAGAAATCTTCCCCCATCCTCACCATACACATCTCATCCCCTCCCCAATTCGCCTCGGGTCTGATTCTAAAGATGTGTTTGGGGACCAGGAAGCCTGTGTGGGCCTCACTGGAAGAGGCTGGGTGAAATGGGGTGGGGAAAGCGAGCATCCTCCTTCCTGGGGTAACTGGAGGGGAGTGGGAGGCTTCCTGAGAAGCCCTTCTGGTCTCTATCCCTCCACACTCCGCCTGCATGAGCTCATCATCCTCCTGTCTTCAGTCTCCACTCCCTTGGAATGACTGCCAGATCCCTGCCTGCAACCCAAAACTCTGCTCTCAGCCCCAGACCTGTGTACCGAATGCCTCGTCAACGTTTCCCTGTGGGGTTGGGGAGGGTAGGATTATGTTCTGCTGTGAGTAACACAGGCTATAAAATACGGTGCCCTAAACCAAAGGGCTTCTTGTTTTACATTTAAAAGTCTGGGGCTGGCAGGGGAGTCCTGTTCGAGGACACAGTGTCCTTGCTGGCCACTGCTCTGCCATTACTCAGGGTGTCCATTGACCTCAAAGTCTAAAGTGAAGGTTGAAATTCCAGTCATCCCATCCACATCCAGGCCACAGGATGCAGCAGAGTGGGGGTGACAAGCAATGGGCTCCTGCCAGCTGTTTCAAGAAGGATGCAGGGAGATGCCACAGAACACTTCTGCTTCTGGGCTTCTGCTTCATTAGCCAGAAGGGTCACATGGCCACAATCAGCAGCAAGGTGGGCGGGGAGGTATGTCCTTTACGTGAAGTGACCACACAGATGACCTAGCAGGAGGATTCTGTCATTGAGAACATGAGGTTCAAGCCAGGTGTCAGGGTGCACACTGTAATCTCAGCAATTGGGAGGATCATGAGCTCAAGCCCAGCCTTGGTTACATCAGCAATTCAAGTCTAGTCTGGATTACACAGCAACACGATGAGACCCTGTCCCACAAAAAAACAAAAACTGCACAAGCAAAATAACAGCAGGGCTGGGGATATAGCTCAGTGGCACAGCTCCTGCCTGGCAAGTACAAGGTCATGAGTTCAAACCCCCGTACACAAAAAACCCCAGAAAACTGAAAAAAGAAAATGAGAGTAGAACTGGGGATGTAGCTCAAAGCAGAATTTCCCTTGTCTAGATGCCTAAGATTCTGGGTTTAATCCCTAGCACTGAAAGAAGGGAAAAAGAGGAGGAGGTAGAGGGGAAGACAAGGAGGAGGAAAGAGAGGGAGGGAGGGAAGCAGGGATTAGGCGGCGGCCACCAGCACTGTCCAGCCAGGATCCCACTCTCTGATTTGTTTTTTTTTTTTTTTTTTTTGTCTTTTTCCTTTTCATCGGTACCGGGGATCAAACTCATGACTGCCTGCTTGCAAGGCAGGCGCTTATGCCACTGAGCTAAATCCCTAGCCCTTAGGATCCCACTCTCTCCTCCTGCTGGCTCATGTGGCATGGCATCTTCACAGTGCTTTCTTCTCCCTTAGGTTTGCTCCTGTGCCCTTCCTCCCTCTGTGGGCAGGGGCTGACCAGGAACACCAGGGGTGAGGAACAGACAAAAAGATCCAAATGGAAGCCACCCAAGTGGAGCAAGTGGGGCTGGGGGCTCCTGAGCAAAGGAGCAGGTGGCCGAACACAAAGCTGGGTCTGAGCCTGAAAGTGGCAGAAATAAAGGGCCCAGCTCTTCATCTGGCTGCCGAACACAGACGCTGCTCCACACCCAGCATCCACCTGCTGTGCCCTTCCTGTTCCTGTGTGGTTCACTCTGTCATCCGGCAGAGCTCTGATCAGGGGTCATCTCCTCTAAGAAGTCCTCAGGTCAGGCCAGGACACCTGCATAGCACAGTGAGGCCGGGGCTGCCTGCGGGTGCTATCAGTACAGAGTGCGGGTTTGGATGCATCTGGGGCAGGGTAGTGGGGTGGCATGGTTGCAAGATGGGATCCCAAATGTGCCTTTTCATGAGCAGAGCCACCAAAGCTAGCATGGAGTTCCCGGTCACCATGCTCCTTGGGTATTGGGGAGGGGTTGGGCCCCCAGTGAGGAAAATGATGCTGCCAGAGGTGGTGGCCCTAGAGGAAGTCCATCTGGGTGGGGGCAGGCAGAGTAATTCCTGGAAGGAAGCTCACACCTCAGGAATCTGGTAGGGAAACACCAGCGGGCTCGTCCCAGGAGCTGTCCTCTTCACGTCCCCAAGCCGGGTAGGGAGCAGGGCACCTGAGCTGGGGTGCTGAGCCCCTGCAGCTGGAATAGGGTGCAGCTCAGTAGGGGCAGGATCAGCAAGACCCTGTTCTCTCTCAGTCCCTTGAGTTCTCACCACACAGTGACACTAAAAGTGTCACTTCTCGCTATGGGCATGGACCGGAGTGGTCCCCAGTCAGGCTCTGGCACAGCCCAAGGCTCCCTCCATAGCACCCCATGTGCAGGGTCACCTGTCTGTGTGGCATGCGTGTCGTGTGTCTGCCCCGCGCTCCAGGGCAGAGCCAGGCTTGGGCAAGAGTCCAGAGTGGGGATGTTGATGGGGGGGACTAGAAGTTCTCTCCATACCTCTTAGCAGTAAGAGGCTTAGGTGTGGGGCTGGCGTGTCCTAAAACAAACGGTATCTCCTGCCCTAAAGCTGCCTGCTGCTCCACCCTGTCCTGGGTACCTGCCTCCCTGGAAGGCCCTCCTGGCAGTAACTAGGGCAAGGGGTGCTCTGAGCACACACAGCACCCACTCAGGGCCCTCGAGGGAAGGCTGCTGAGGAGTGGGCCAGCGCTGGGAGCTCAGAAGCCTGCTGTGCTGAGCAGGCCATGAGAGGACCTGGAGCTCAGGGCTGGGGAGAAGTCTGAGGGACTAGCAAGAGGCCACACTTTGGTTTGGGTCTGCTCCTGTAGGTCCCGGGCAGACCGGGAGAGGGCTGTGTTGCTGAAGTCAAGTACCAGGTTTGCACCTTTGAAAGGCTCTGGTTGCAAACTAGAGACAGTGAGGGCAGGGCTGGGAGTGAGAGCATCAGCTGGGAGGGGAAGAGCCTGGGCCCAGGCCCAGGAGGGGAGCTCTGGCCCAGGAGCAGCCGCTCCACTGAGCCTCTTCATCTTCCTTCAGTGTCCTCCCTCAGTCAGGGAGAAGCAGGAAGCTGGTGAGGTCAGTGGGTGGGCCCAGCATGGCGCTGGAGCAGGAGGAAGACAAAAGGGCACAGCAGGGTGAGGGGGCAAGGGCTCTGCGGGACCCCTGCCCATCGGCCTTGTGCCCAGTTTCTGTGGCATCATTGATTCAATCAAGGCTTCGCGGGGGTCATCTGCTGCCCTCATCTGTGTTAGACTGGCAGCTGCCCAAGGGCGGGGCCTGCAGCTCCCAATTCAGACAGAAAGGGGCCTGAAGTGGGGTGCCAAGTACAGGGTGGGGACACCCTAAGGCCTTCATTCCTGCTGCTGTGGCCCTCAGAGATGAACCAATCCTTGTGTGTGCTGGGGCGGATGAAGGGAGGGCCTGGAAGGGGAAGTGATAAAGGAGAGGCAGGCCTGTGTGCCGGCCAGAGCCTGCCCGGGGTCTCACAACCCTGCTGCCTCCTTTCCTGCTTTAGCTTGGTGGCTAAGGAGATGGAGGCTAGGGGTCCCCCTCACATATGCACAGGGAAGTGCGAGCACATTCAACAAACACACATGCAATGATACAAGACACAGGGACACACACACACACACACACACACACACACACACGCACACACACGCACGCACACACACACACTCACGCACGCACGCACATCCCCCAGCCTCGGCCTGGTTAAGAAGACCCACTGGGTGGAGGCCCTAAGAATAAGGGCCACAAGCCTAGGGGAGATGACACTATCACTGGGGAGCCTGGCAGAGAGGAGGACAGAAGCAGCCCAGGAGAAATGGCCCATATAAATGTGGAGCTGACCATGGGAGCCAATGCCTGTAATCCTAGCCTTAGGGAAGCTGAGGCAGGAGGAGTGCCTCTAATTCGATGCCAATCTGAATACAGTGAGACTCTGTCTCAAAAAAACCCAAAATAAATAGGGCTCCCTGGAAGTCCTGGGGAAGGGGACTTCCCCTGCGGAGCAGACACAAAGGGATAAGAACTGAGAGGCAAGCCAGGCATGTTGGCGCACACCTGTGGTCCCAGCACTCAGGAGGCTGAGACAAGAGGATCACTGTAACAGGCCAATCTGGACTACGTAATGAGCCTGAACTACGGAGTCAGACGCTGTCTCCAAAACCAAAGGCTGAGAAGCAGATGGAGCCTCTATGGGGATACAGAGTAAAGAAGCAGAAGGGGCCAAGGAGGGCCTAGCGGAATCGTCCTCCGCCAATCGAACCCCTTATTTATCTTGGAATCCCCAAGAGAGCCTGGGTTAGGATCAGAAGCCAGCTGGGTGCTTCTTGGCGCGGAGGCAGGACGTACTCTGAATGGCCAGGAGTGGGGCCCAGCCTGTGAGAACTGCTGCTCTGCTCCTGGAACCTCAGCGAGGACCAGGCCAGGTCCCAGTGTGCGCCGGCCCCAAAGCTGCCTCACCTGCCCCTCAGCCCTAGCTGGGGAAGTGGAGGGAAAGGCGGCTGCAGGAGAGGCCGCGAGACTGGAGGGGCTGCGGCAGGGTTGCAGGTGGGCCGCCCAGGCTGAGCCCCAAGGTGGGCTGTAGGAAGGAAGGGGAGGCGGGGGAGCGACAGGAGGCTGGCGAGGGTCTGGAATTCGTCCGCCCCTCCTCCCCACCCTTCCTCCCCACCCCTCCGCTTTCCCGAGCCTGGCTGGCGCTGGAGGGGCGCGGAGGCCGGGGCCGGCTGGAGCCCTGGAGGAGGCCCCACAGGCCCCGCCCCCGCCCCCCCTGCACATCTGGGCCGGGCGCGCGGCCATCCGGCGGGGGAGGGGGAGGGGAGAGGAGGGACTGCGGGTGGGGCCGGCGAATGGGTGGGGGGGCAGGCGCACGTCGAGGGCCGTGGGTTGGGAGCTGCGGGCTGCGGGTCGGGATCCAGGCTGCCGGACCGTGTCGAGCTATCTAAAGGCCGAGGTGAGCTCAGGAGGTGCTAGGGGCGTCGAGGGGGCCATCCTGGCCTTCGGCTGGCCCCAGAACCGCAAACTTCGCACTCCAGTGGGTTTGTAGCAGGAACACAACTGTGCAGCGCCCGGGCTCCCACCTGAGCTTTGGGACCCCCCCACGCGAGACACGGAGTTCGGGCTGGCGGAAGAGCAGTGGACCCAGTGTGTCTGGGCCTGAGGTGAGATCTGGGGGTCGAATGCAGGCTTGTGCTGGGAAGTGGCCCCAAACTCTGTGGCCCTGGGATGCGAGAGAGTGGCGGGAGTGGCCAGGGTGCTGGGGACTCAGGTTTCTCTCTATGAGGCCAGCTTGAGGGTCCATGTTGGGTGGGGTCCGGGCTCACACAGGGTGCAGTCTTGCCTGGGGAGAGCTGGAAGGAAGGCAGGGCGCACCAGCCTAGGATCCAGGGACCTCAGATGGCCAAGAAACCAGAGTACAAGAGTGGTCATGCAGGTCCATGGCAGGGGTGGGAGAGCTTCACCACGCTGTGGAACCGAGGTTGTTTGTGAACTGACTGCTGATGTGATGAAGACCCATGGGCGTGGGGCAGGATGTATGGAAAGGGAGGGACCATGGGTGGTATTTTGTCATCCCTGCCCTAGCACAGGAGGGGCATCCCCAGCCTCCTCTGAACAAGGTGGGGCAGCCCTTTGGGTGCCATTTCTGATCTGGCCCTTGGGCCCTGGTTGTTGGCCCCATCTGTGCCTGGAAGGAATGGTTTGTGGCCTTACTTAGCTGACAGTCCTGTTCCATTAGGGTGTTGGCAGGCAAAGATGAACCAGTGAGGCAGGGTCCCCAGCTTAACGATCCAGGTGGATCCAGGCATTGGGTGAAGTCCTGAAATCCAACAATACCACACAGCTGCAGAGCCAGTGGTACCCAGCCTCAACACCTCACCCCAAGATAGATCCTCAAAGAATTCTCTGTCAAGCAAAAGTCCTAGGCTACTGTGAACCTGGGCAGAGCACTGGGAGATTTGTGGTTGTGAGTGGCCTACTCAGCCACACCTCTGAGCCCCAGTGCCTTGTGGGTAGAAGTCAGAGCAAAGGGTCAGGTGAATCTGAAGATTAGCGGTCAGTATGAAGCCAAGGGTTAGGGGTCAGTCCATTGCGGGGTTAAGGGTCTGTTTGGGTAGGGTATGGGTCAGGATGGAGTCAGAGTTTGGCAAGCACTTACAGCCCGGAAATGGAGTTACTTTCCGTGTAACTCAAACTCAGAGGCATCAGCAGTGTGAAACTAGTGGACCTCTAGTGGAAACTAGGTACGCTTCCACCTCCCCCATTTCTAGCTGTGGACCCTGCCCAGACCTAGATTTGAGAAGTGAAGCTGTCCTGGGCCCCATGGGCAGCACTATCCTTCAATGTTTTTTGTTTGTTTTCAGACAAGGTCTTGCTGTGTAGTTCAGATTAGACTCACTGTGTAGCTCAGGGTGACCTTAAACTCACAGCAGTCCTCCTGCCTCAGCCTCATGAGTGCTGGGATTATAGGTGCTGGCTCCTTCCACAATGCTTGGCTTCTCCTTCAGTGTATCTGGGGGGTGGGTACCTGCTGGGGTGAGCAAGGTTCCATGGATGTGTGTGTGTGCTTCTTTGACTGTCACCCCCTTCTACCCGTACCTCTTCAGGAAGCAGTGAGAAATTCCTTTTGTAACACAAATTGATACTTCCTTCTGAAAGAACTCGATATATGTACAATAAAATCCTCAGTACGACTGAAAACTTCTAACAAGCAGAAATTCAGAATCAATATCATGAAAGAAACAATATGTTCCCCTTCCCTTTATCAATACCTTCCATATCTGGACTTGGTACTCACATGATCCCTGTGGCACCCATTTTATAGAAAAAGGCATTGAGGTATGGAAAGGTGACATGATGCACTCACACTGAGTGCCATAAGGCCTTGATATCCCAGAGATCCCCTGTAGGGTCACACACTCAGGAGATAAGGTGCAAGCTGGGGAGATTACAAGCAGATAGTTGGGACATGGAATCCAGTGTTGACTTAGTCTTCCTGGCAGTGCTAGGTTGTTTCTCTTGCAGATCCAATATTCTTGGACCATAAAGATCTTTTCTCTCTTTCTTTCTTTCTTTCTTTCTTTCTTTCTTTCTTTCTTTCTTTCTTTCTTTCTTTTTCTTTCTGTCTCTCTCTCTCTCTCTCTCTCTCTCTCTCTCTCTCTCTCTCTCTTTCTTTCCTTCCTTCCTTCTTTCTTTCATGCATTCTAAGTGTGGGAAACTGGTTCCCACACTTAGCACAGAGGATAGCACTGAAGAAATGTCCAGTACTTCTGTGGTAAAGAATTAAGACTTAGGGGCTGGGGATTTAGCTCAGTGGCATAAGCGCCTGCCTTGTAAAGCAGGCAGTCGTGAGTTCGATCCCCGGTACTGATAAAAAGGAAAAAAGACAAAAAAAAAAAAAAAAGAAAGAATTAAGATTTACAAATAGGGCTGCTGGCTCCTCCCTTGTGGCCTGGATCAGTGGTATGCTGGTAAATGTTTTATAAGCAACTGTTTGAGAGGGAAGAAACATGGATTTTAGTCTTGTCGATTTCCACGGTGTAAATATTCCCAGTGTGGCTGGTTTCAAGCCACCAACAGTGATGTCAGTGAATGCCCAACTGGAAAAAGAGACAGTGTCAGCTCTGGAGTTCTGGAGGACTCAGCTGCACCACACTCTGTCACTCTGAGCTGAGCTCCTGTCACTGGCTCTCCAGGTCCCTACTGACTTCCTCTGTCTGATTTCCCGTTTTCTCAGCATCTTCTGGCTGTTATGCAAGTAGCCACAAGCAGCCTCTGCCCTTCTCCTGATTGTGATTCCTGGGCATCCAACTGTGTACTTCCAGTAACATGGGAGACAGCAGGACTGCATGTATCTGGAAATTTTCATGGGGCTGGCCATGCAGGAGTGCCCTAGGCCTACAGGAACATGTGAGAATTGGGGAGTCTGACCATGACTAGGCTGCGTTTGTGTAAACCATGCAGGAACAAGGGTGTGTATGTGTGTATACGTGCACGCTAGTGCCCAGCTCTGTGTCTGCTTGTGTTGTTAGCAAAGTTTCCTGATCAGGCTACTGGGAGTGGGACTGGGCAGCCCCTGCCTTTATTTGGAGAATCGACCAGGCTCATAGATAAAAGGACAATAACACCCATGATCTGAAGACTGGGACATTTGAGCAGCACCTCTCCCACTGATTTAGTGGGCCAAGGCCAGGGCCAGGGAGCTGAGGTTCTGCATTTCCGACTTGCTCCTGGGGGATGCCCAGGCCGTGACCTGAGACCATGATTCAATTCAAGTAACAATACTGTCGGGGTTTGCGGGATCCAGCCTGTCCCTTGGGCCCCATAGCTTCAGAGGCACAAGCTCTCCCTCTAGCCACTGTCGTCACATCTGTTCCAGATCTCATCACGTTTCTCCAAAGGTCTAGCTCAGCTCCCTTACCCCTTGGTCATCCCTCATCTGGAGTTACCTGCCTTGGGCTTTTAAGACAGTTGCTTTTGGTCTCATTTAACAGCAGCCTTCCTTTCTGAGGGCACTGGGAATCGAACCCAGGGCCTCTCATGTGTTAGGCAAGTGTACTACTAGTGAGCTACATCCCCAGTCCTTTTAAAATTTTGTTTTGACACAGGGTCTTGCTAGTTGCCCATGCTGACTTTAGACTTGTGATCCTCCGGCCATAGCTCATGAGTAGCTGGGATTACAGGATTGGGCCACCATGCCCACCTCATCTAAGAATCTCTTAAAATATCTGGGTTCTCTGAATCTCTTATCCAGGTCTCCAGAAAGCCACGGAGGACTTCTTCCCTTCGCCAGCCCACCTTCCCTGTCACCCTTGACTGTCACTTTTCCCTTCCCTCCCCTTGGTGTTCTTTTCCAGGTGCCCCGGGACAATGTCTCCTAAATGTACATCCCCAGCTCAGCGTCCTCCTGACCTCCAGACCGCCTACTCACTGGCTGCTTGGAATGTTCTCTTAGTTCTAACCCCACACTGTGCACTGGGCCCCTGTCAGCCTGCCCTGTCTTCAGTACCTTTCATCTCGCCATCCGTGTCCTCCTTTGAGCCGGAGGATGCCACCTTGGCATCTTCTTCATAAGCCTCTGGGTCCCATCTAATGTAATCTAACTTTTGAGCCTCAGATGTCTCCACTGTTGTCTCAAGCCCCACAGCCCCCACCATCACCAGCTAAGCTTGGCTGCTTGTAGTCCACTCTCCCCAGGCAGCCAGAGGGGCATCTCAGCGTGCAAAGTGTAGCTGGGTGTGGTGGCCCACACCTAGAACCCCAGCGCTCTGGGAAGTGATTGCAAATTTGAGCCCAGCCTGGGCAATTTAGCAATTTAGCAAGACTTCGTCTCAATTTTTAAAAATACGAAAAACATTTTTTTAAGGGCTGGGGTTGGTAGCTCATTGGTAGAACATTTGCTTAGCACATCTGAGGCCCTGAGTTCAGTTTCCAGTAAATCTCTACCTCCACAAAAACCAAGTTGAGCCATGCTCTTCCCCTGACCTGGCACTTTAAACCATTCAAGACTTGCTGTTGCCTTACACATAAAAACAAGTCTAGGGCTGGGGATTTAGGTCAGTGGCATAAGTGCCTGCCTGGCAAGTACGAGGTTGTGAATTCAATCCCTTGTACAAAAAAAAAAAAACAAAAAAAACAAGGGCTGGGTATTTAGCTCAGTGGCTTAAGTGGCTGCCTGGCAAGCATGAGGTCATGAGTTCAATCCCTGTCACAAAAAAAAAAAAAAAAAAGCCCCAAAAACCCAAATCTAATGAAGGGTCCTGGGGGGCCTAGTCCCTCTCTCAACCTGCTGATCCCTTCTCAGCATTGAGTAACCCAAAAGTCACTTGCATGATTATGTGAGGATGACCAGCTCACCCACCTGTCTGTGGGTCCCCAGGGCAGGGACAATGTCTCTAGATTACTGATGTCCCTCACCCAGCACCTGGCACCAGAAAGCATTGAGGAGCCTGTTGATTTCTACAGAGCAAAGCCATTTTTGACATAAGCTATGGAGCTGAGCTTTTGACAAGAGAAGGAATTGCTATACATTTGGTTAAACATGATAATGGAGTTGTAATGGTGTTTTTCAAAATATCTTTGTCTGCTGGAGAGACATATTGAAGAGTTTATAGGTGAAAAAATATGATGAGTTGCTTCAAAAGACTCCAGCCAAAAGTAAATAAATAAATAAGCATTCAGAGAAGGAACAAAGAAATAAGTAAACCCCATTCTGTCTGTTCCTGTTGACAGCTATAGGGCCTGCGAGGATGCTGGCTGTCCCAGAGATGGGCCTGCAGGGGCTCTACATAGGTAAGACCCCCCACTGTGCCCTGGCCACCAACCCCCTCCCCTCCACCAGGGCCCATCAGCCAATGCGCCTCCTGAGAGCCGTTCTGGAAATGCTTGCTTGCATGCGTAGGGTGGTCTGTGTGCTCAGCATGTGTGTGCATACTTGCAGGGAGGGTCTTGTGCACCGATGTGTGTACTAAGCGTGTGTATAGGTAGACAGTGTCCCTGCACAAAGTGGATCTGTTCACAGGACCCTTCTGTGTACATGAGTGTCTGTACGTGCATGTGTGTAGGCAGGGTCTGTGTGAGCAGGACTGTATGTTTATGAGTGTGTTTTGTGGGCAGGGGAGGAGGCCACCCGGCAAGAGGGACACTCCTCAGGAAGTCCATTCACAAAGACCTGGCAGGCTGGCCCTTCCTTCCTGCCTCCCTTCCCAGGCTCAAGCCATAGCAACATGGCCACTCAGGCTGGAGCTGGTGGCAGGGCTGAGCCCGTGCTGGCTGCATGGTAAAGGGGAGCTCTCAGAATGTGACCACCATGTTCTTGCCCTGCTGATCCCAGGCAGACTACAGTGCTGTCCATGTACTTCCCAGAACCCTCCAATATGTTCCTGGGTTAGCCCAAGAACTGAGGTGTGCCTATTTTGGGGCACAGGTAACCAGACTTCTTGGTGTTTGGCCATCCTAGCCTCAGAGCTGGGCTAAGGGAGGCACTGCCCACCTCCTCCTCCTCCTCCTCCTCCTGTCTCTCCCCTGGCAGCCAGCTGGGCCTGCCGGTGGCCCTGGGGTGGGGGAGGGGTGGCTCCATCCAGGTCTGATTAGAACCATGTGGCCCATCTTTAGGCTAGAGGGAAGCAGCCCCACTTCTAGGCCGGCTGTCCCACCCCCAGCCACACGTGTCTGTGACTTACTCTCCTGTGTCTTTTCCACCTCCCACCCCCATCCCTGGAGCCATCTGCCTCATCTCTCCTGCCCTTTCTTCCCTGGACTCAGTCTCCCCAGCACAGTGTTTTTGTCTCCGCCCTCCCCCACCTTTTGTGTGGGGTGCTAAGGTGGTAGAGCCCAGAATAAAGTTGCCTCAAACTGAGGACAGGCCCCCAGTCCCTGCCCTCGACATGTCCTTCCACTGCGCCAGTCCCCCTGCCCATCAGGAATGATGGGGAACCTCCCAGCGCCAGGCCTGGAGCCTAGCTGCCCTGATGGTGCCAGGGTGACCTGCCCTCTCTTCTCCACAGGCTCCAGCCCGGAGCGCTCCCCAGTGCCCAGCCCACCCGGCTCCCCGAGGACCCAGGAAAGCTGTGGCATTGCCCCCCTCACACCTTCACAGTCACCAGTAAGCCTGGGTGAGGGTTTGGGGTGGTGGGCGGCCTCGGTGATGTGGAGGAGGGCTGTGCCTCGCAGACAGTGTTGGGCCTGGGCTGGGAAGGAAGAAAGAACGAGGGCAGGGGCAGGCCACCAGGCTGCAAGTCCCACGCCTTAAGTGGCTTTGAGTGTAGAGTGACAATTCTACTGAGAAGTAAAAAGCTCTCTGTAACTACTGCCCCATACTCCCTTCTGCAGAATGACCCCTAGGGCTATGGCAGTTGGCCTGGCTGGGGCAGGTAGTGGGGTGAGCTTGTGTCTTTCCTAGGTCCTTAGAACCCCAGTGCCTCCCAGAGTTGCTTCTCCTGCCAGCCACAGCCCACTTGAATTCAAACCATATCTGGGGTAAGGGAGGTGTGCTGTTAAAAGTAGGTAGGAAGCTACAGGGCATGATGGTTCCAGGACATAGCTCCCCTCCCTCCACAGTCCTGCCCTGGAGATCCCCCCAGCCCACCCACTGGGCCACCCCACTGGGATCCAACCTGGACAGTCTATTGTTCTCAGGAAGCCCAGGCCTTGCCTGTGAGAAGGCAGGAACCACTGTTTACAGGTCTGTGTCACTGTGACCAAAAAGAGCAGGAAGTATAATATACACAGGTCCACATGCTATAAAGCTACCCAGAGGACACAATTGCTCCCAGCTGGGCCCAGGTTGGAGGATGCTGTGAGGTAGGGGTGGGAATGGTGGTCGAGGCAGTCCTTGCAGAAGTGGGCAGAGAACCTGAAGCAGGAAGGCAAGTGCTGGAGCCTGAAACCTCCCGGAGGGCTGGGGCTTTCTGAACAGCAGGTCTGTCCTGGGCTCAGCCTGGAGCCTGTTCGGGGAGAGTTGGGGGAGCCTGGGCTGGTGAGTCTGGGCCAGGGGAGGGAAACAGTGCCCTGCTGGGGGTTAGCACTTCCTGCTGGCTGCTCCCTAACTCCAGGTCTTGGGTTTGCAGAAGCCAGAGGCTCGAGTTCCCCAGCAGGCCTCCTTCTCTGTGGTGGTCGCCATTGACTTCGGCACCACGTCCAGCGGCTATGCCTTCAGCTTTGCCAGTGACCCGGAGTCCATCCACATGATGAGGTGACGACAGCTGGGCTGGCAGCTTTGGGATGGGATAGGCCTGGTTTCCAGAAATAGTCACAGAGACATCCCCTTCTGGGAGTCCTCACTGGGACAAAAGGTTGGAGGATGGACCCCAGGTCCGAGCTCCCAGCCTCCCTGGAGTGCTCCTTCCCTCTGTAGACAGCATCAAGCTTTATTTTTGTTTTTTTATTTATTTGTTTATGATGCTGTGGCTCAAACCCAGGGCCTCAAGCATGCTAGGCAAACGCTGTATTACTGAGCCACACCCACACTCCGTGGCTTTACTTATTTTAAATTTTGTTGAAATATAAAAAACATGTAATAAAATACATAAAGGTTTTTGAGGGTTACACACAAACATACACACATAAGTGTGCATATATGTGTTTTAAAAAGGAACTGCCTTTTTTTTTTTTTGTCTTTTTCCTTTTTATCGGTACTGGGGATTGAACTCATGACTGCCTGCTTGCAAGGCAGGCGCTTATGCCGCTGAGCTAAATCCCCCGCCCCGCCATTTTATTTTTTAATAAAAGGCCATGGCCAAGGCACCGAGGCCTCACTAACCTCCATACTGTTCCAGTTTTAGTGTATGTGCTGCCAAAGGGTGCATACAGCTTGCAGGATATTTGGTAGGTGTTTTGTGTTCAGACAAACACAGTGCCTGCCTTCTTCGGACAGTTCCCTAGTATTCCTCAGCACAGGGGTGTCAGAGAGTATCCCCTCCTATCGGCAGTATTTTGGGTTTGTTTTCCTCTCACTGTTCACTATAACAAAAAGTGCTACAGGTAATGTCCTCGAAAATTCATGCTGGGATCTCTGTAGGGCAGATTTCTAGATGGAGATTTGTTGTGACATGTCAGATGAAGAACAAGGAAATAAAGGTTCAAGACTGACAAGTCACGGGATTACTTCAAGGAGATGTTTGAAAAATTCCACCTGAGGGGCTGGGGATTTAGCTCAGCAGCATAAGCGCCTCCGTTACAAGGCAGGCAGTCGTGAGTTCGATCCCTGGTACTGATAAAAACGAAAAAGACAAAAAAAAAAAAAAAATTGAAAAATTCCACCTGATGTTGTGTGAACTCTCCTTTTTAGTCCATTTATGTTACCATAGTGAAATACCTGAGGAAAGGTACTGTGTAACGACATGAACTTACAGTTCTTGTGAGTAGAATTCCATGCTGATACAGAGCATCGTGTGACAAGAGACAGGAAATGTATGTGCTGGTGTCTGTCTGAACGCTCCCTGTTCTTTTTTGAAATTGTTTTAAAATTTAAAATTTTTGTCAATTCATGTTTGCAGTACATAATGTGATGACTGTCCATAACATGGGGAGTTCGGATCTATACATAGCACATCTCAATTCTGATCAATCCCTCTGCTCTCCTTCTTTCTCTCTCCATGTCTTGGTTTCCTTCTCATTGCCAAAAGATCTATCTTCCTGTTTCCTGTTACCTGCATTTTACCTTGCTCTTTATTTATATTTTGGGTTTCTCATATAAGACAAACTATTTGATATTTAAGCTTGTCTGATTTATTTCACCTAATATGGTCTCAAGGTGTATGTATTTTACTACAAATGACTCAAATTTTTTTTTGGTACTGGGGATCAAACTTACAATCTTGTGCTTGCCAAGCAGGCACTTACACTGCTGAGCTAAACCCTCGACTCCTGAATGACTCAAATTTATCCTTCATGGCCGAGTAGCATCCCATTGTGAAAAAATACCATTCAACTGTTTGTGGACACATAGGTCACTGCCAAGCTTTAGCTGGTATGTGCAGCTGTAAACATGGGTATGCAAGGAGTACTGTGCCTCTTCTTATAAAGCTGCCAGGGATTCAGTAATACAGGGTTTTGCCTTAATGACTTTATTCTAGTCCTACTCGCTTTCCAAAGGCCTCACCTCTAAATACTATAAGTGGATTATTTTGACCTTAATACTTTGCAATAGGGAATAAATTTCCACACATGAGGATTTGAGGGCACCCAAATTATAGATGTCAAAACTGCAGCACCACCACTGTGGACCTCAGGACCCTGATTCTTTGAATGAGTCTCATTGTGGCTGCAGCCAGCAGGTGAAGCTACCGGAAGTCCCCAAAATCTCTACCCAGACTGGGATAGGAGATACAGGGGGGCTCCTAGGGCCAGGGAGGCTGAGTGGAAGGGGAATGGACAGAGACAGATGATCTTCAGGATCTTGGACTGACTTTTCATATCATTGCAACCTCCACATGACAAGAGGCACAAAGGTCGTGGACACTCAGCCCTCTCTAGAGAAGCAGGACACCTCAGATGGCGCAATCATCAGCACACAGCTGAGGCCATGCTGGCCCCGTGGTGGGACCAGGGACACATGAAGGGATACTTTCTCTGTCCTGTGGAAGTGACAGTCACAGGAAATAAGTGAGGGCCATCATGCCTCCTCCTTGACCTTTCTTCCCACCAGCCACCAAACACCATCATTTCCATGACTTGCTAAAATCTGCGGAATGCCCATCCTCTTCTCTCCATGGCCACCAGCCTGCCTTCGTTGAGCCCCACCCTCTCACCTGGACCTCGGCAGTAACCTCCTGCCTGTCCTCCTCGCTTCCCTTCTCTGTCCTCTCTTCCCTCCGGGCTGTTCCATCTGAGGGCCAAGCAGCTTTCCTTCCCAAAGGCAAATGTGGTTCTGCCTCTTCACTCCCCTACTTGAAATAGAGAATTGTGCTGCAGCGTTTGGTGTCTTGCATTCTCTTCCCTTGGCATTCTGGTATTTTCTCCTGCTGTGTGTGAGCCAGTCTAGAGCTGTCCCCCTTCCCCTGTGCTCTCACACCTCTAGCCTTCTGCATTTGCTTTTCCTCTGCCTGGATTCCCAGTTCCTTCCCGCAAAGGGCTGCAGTGGTGAACCTGGTCTGAAGGGGTCCAGCATCAGAGAAAGCAGGAAGGATTTGCCAGGCTATGAAGTGGGCAGGGAGTTCTAGGTGGACGTCAGACGCCCCTGCAGAAAGAGATTCTAAATCTCATTCCGGTGTTGGGGACCTGCTGGGACAGTCTTCGTGGGTGTAGCTGCTGAGGTGGGTCAGACAGAAATGATCATGAACGATACTGCAGGAGCTTGGATTTAGGGGACAGCTTCAAGGAGGGCAAAGTGATGTGTCTCTCCAGGACCTCTGCTGGGGTCCTGGAGAGACACATCATGAGGCCAGACCAGGCCAGCGGATATTGTCCTGATGCTTTGAGGAAAGGTCAAATGGTGCCCCTCCCTGGAAGGAACAGGGCCCAAACGGGACCAGTGGGCCCATGGACGTAAAAGAGCCCATGACTAGTGTTTATGAAAATTCAAGTGGATGCCATTTGTTCATCACAAGAACCCTAAAAGTAGATAATACTATTGTTCCCGTTGCATAGATGAAAAGACTGAGGCTTGGGAAGGTTGTGTCCTGCTGCAGGTTACACAGCTGGCCCCAGAGCCAGCGTCCATCTTCATGAAGGGATGTTTGTAGCTGACCTCACTTCCCTGTGTCTCTGCAGAAAATGGGAAGGTGGGGATCCTGGCGTGGCCCACCAGAAGACCCCTACCTGTCTACTGCTGACTCCTGAGGGCACCTTTCACAGTTTTGGATATACTGCTCGAGATTACTACCACGACCTGGATCCGGAGGAGGCCCGGGACTGGCTCTACTTCGAGAAGTTCAAGATGAAGATCCATAGTGCCACCGTGAGCAGTGTTACTGGCAAGGCCCCAACCAGGAAGCCAGGACCAGGAAGGGACCAAATCTCCTTAGTGGAGGGAGGAGATGGAGGCGTGGCTAGGAGGCGGAGCTATGGGCCAAGGATTGGAGCTCAAAACGTGGAGGCGTGGCTAAAATGGGTGGGAACAGAGTGAGGATGGGTTAGAGGAGGGGCAGAGCTAAGAAGAGACCCTGGGGCTAATAATGGCAATTGGGGGAAAGCAGGAGAAAATTGGGGAGATGGGATGATTTTGAGGAAGAAGTCATTGGGAAGTGGGGGCAGAGCTATGACATTTTCCAGAGACACGCCGTGTCCCTGCCAGGATCTCACCTTGAAGACCCAGCTAGAGGCAGTAAATGGAAAGAAGATGCCAGCCCTGCAGGTGTTCGCACATGCCCTACACTTCTTCAAAGAGCACGCCCTGCAGGTGCCCGCTGCCCCACCCCTGCCTACCGGGACAGCGCCCCTCAGCCCGTCCTAGTCCTCCTCCCTTCCTCTCCATCTTCCTCACCCCTGTCTGTCAGATGGGCAGACACTAGTCAGGGCCAGAGGTCCTCTTTGTCATCCTCATCCTGCCCTCCTCCTCCCGGAACCTCCCCCGGGCCACCCTCGGGAGGGAAGAGGTTCTTCCCCACAGCCAGGAAGTTCTTCCTAAGGTTGACTGGTTCCTCTAGGTCTCCTCCAGGGCTAAAGATGACCCAAGTCAGCCGTTTCCACTGTTTTAGTTACTTGTTGCTTAGACATAATACTCAACACCCACCAGTTAAGGGAGGAAAAGTTTACTTAGTTCACAGTTTACACAGGTTTCAGTCCATAATTAGCTGGCTCTGAGGCAGGTTGGCACATGGCAGAGGGGCACAGCAGAGGATAACAAGCTCATGGCAGGCTGAAGATTTAAAAAAACAGTAAGTGACAGGCGATCACAGCTCTTTCTATCCCTTATATCTCATCCAGGCTACTTAGGGCAAGTAACATTCACAGCCTAACTCCTAGCACTGAACCATGCATCTCCTCCAGTGCCACATATTCTAAATCCCGCCACCTCTGAAAAAGCCCCACCTATGACTGCATAAGGCTGGGGGAACATCTAGACACAGCCACGACACCTCCCTGTTGCCTCCGGCTGCAGGAACTGAGGGAGCAGTGCCCATCACTGCCTGAGAAGGATACTGTGCGCTGGGTGTTGACAGTGCCCGCCATCTGGAAACAGCCGGCCAAGCAGTTCATGCGGGAAGCCGCCTACCTGGTGAGCACATTTGGCTGAGGGCCCTGGGGGTTGCCACACCCTCATCTCTGACCGCCCCAGAACCACAGTCATTGCATAAAGACCTCCAGCTCTCCACCCCCACCCCTCACCCTGCACCACGGAATTTTGGAGGATTATTGCCACCAAGACAGGAAGTGGATCTTGTCAGACAGACAAGAGGCACAGCGTAGACCAGTGAGACCACATCCTAAGTGGAGTTTATTAGAACCACAGCCCAACATACACTCTTACAAGCATGGTCTATTGAAGATGGGTCTCAAGAGAAAGGGGAAGGAGGAAGCAAGGCAGCTGAGCGAGATGTGCTTCCTCAGCACGTGGCCGCGGCCTGGTCCCTCGGCGAGCGCCTGAGGAAGAATTGTGTAGCAGTGAGGCAAAGATCCATTTCAGTCTGTCCCTGGGTGTGGGGGGAGGGGAAGGGACACCTGTCAAGGGAGGTTGAGTCCCCTTCAGCTGAGAGCAGCTCAGCTGGTCTGGAGAAGGGACCACTGTGAACCAACAACAGCAGCAGGCACTGAGGACACCCATTTTGACTGACATTGGTGCTTTACAGACACCCCACCTCTGTCCTCACTCTGGTGGGCTGGTGGGTTTCTCTCTGGAAAGGACTCCGAGACCAGTGTGTGCTTGTCTTCCTACCCAAGATGCACGAAGGTCTGGAGGAAGAGGGGTGGGGCTCTGGCACTACCCACTCCATTGGCACAGCCTCAGAGAGAGTCATTGCTTGGCCCTGCCCCTGGGGCCTTGGGGAACAGAGCCCAGGACAGTGGTGGCAAATCTATGGCACATATGCCTCAGCAGGCTGTCGGTATCTTTTGGGGAGGGGGGTAACCAGGAATTGAAATCACGACCTTGTGTTTGCTCAGGCAGGCTCTAATGCCACTGAGCTCCACCCTTGGTGCTTGTTTGTATGATTGAAAAGCTAAGAGGTTCACCATCACTGCCCTAGGACATCTCCAGCCTGCCTGTGGCCCCCAACACATACATACCTATGTGTCAGACATGACCCAGGAGCCAGGTCTGCACAATATGTTGCTTTTTCCTGGAAGGAGCTGGACCACTGCAGAAGCAAAGCTGTCCCACCTGGAACAAATGCCACATACCTAGTGTCCCTGGCCCATTTACCTACCCTGCTCCCTCCCACACTATTCTCTGCTGTCAGCTCCAGAAGGACTGGGCCTGGGCAGGAAGTCTCCATCACCATGCATCTCCCCCTTCCCCATCTGATCAAACTCTAGGAAACCCCATAAACCCTAAAGTACTTCCCAAAGGGATCCTCTGCTCTCATTCAGGAAATACCAGCTCCCATTAGGTTCTCCTCCCTATCGCGCCCTGCAACCGGCCTGTCCTGGTGCCTGGAATTTCACTGTTTCCTTCCTGCTATAGCAGATTCTCAGGAACAAAGTTCTGGGAGTGGGGCGGCCTGAGGCCAGTGTCAGACACCAGCCTGGTGAGCGCAGTGGGGCCCCACCATCTCCTCTGTTCCACTGCACCCCACACTGTCCTCAGGTCTCTGCTAATACTGCAGTCAGTGCCTAACTGGCCAGCCCTGCCCTGTGAGGAGACCTTGCTGCAGCCCCATCTTCTCTGCCTGCTGTCAGCCCTTTGGCCCCTTGGCCCATGCCATGGCCCTCCCCTGCCTGCTCACAGGGTGGCTGTGAGGCTGCTCCAGATTTGTGTGGCATGAAGGGACCTGAGAGACCTAGCATGGGTGGGCTGTGACAAGTGCCAGGGGAGGAGATGGAGCTACTAGGCCCGAGGGTGTCGCCTGAGATGTGACAGCCTCTGGTGCTGCCTACCACCTATCCCCAGGCTGGCCTGGTATCTCGAGAGAATGCAGAACAGCTACTCATTGCACTGGAGCCCGAGGCTGCCTCTGTCTACTGCCGGAAGCTACGGCTGCACCAGCTCATGGACCTGAGTAGCAGAGCCCCTGGTGGTGGGCGACTGGGCGAGCGCCGGTCCATCGACTCCAGCTTCCGGCAGGGTGAGCTGCCCCAGGGATGCTGCCCGGGCAGTCAGCCTACCTTGCAGTGTCAGAGAGGCAATGAGGCCAGAGGCTCAACCATGTCGGAGATGCAGGGGAGAGAGTCCCATCTGGGGCAGCAAATCTCTGGTAGAGAGAAGTATAGCCCTAGACAGGGGGATCCTGAAATGGGGGAGCCACAACAAAGCCTTGACCTGAGGTGCCCCACCGTAGAGCAGAGATTTTATCTTGCTTAGGGGTGCCCCATCTAAGTGGAGCAGCCTCAGTCTGCCCTCAGGTGCAGTGCTCAGGTGAGCATTGAGAAAGGAAGAAGTCAGGGTACACTCCCATCTTCTCTTAAACAGGGGCTGCATCAGTTGTTGTCCCCACCAGCCCTCTGTCCTCACCCACCCCATGCTCCTGCTGCCAGGACTAGGCATAGAGGCCAAAGACATCTATAAACAACCTTGACCACTTTCCAAATGCCATCTCCTATGACAGGCAGGAGCTGAGCTCCCCTAGGACACCTGGAGCCTCTGTACCCCACCCAGCTCCCCCAAACCCTTCTAAACCTGATTTTGCTGAGGCCTGTTCTCTCCTGGGTTAAGGGAAGGTCCTGTGACCAGAAATACAATACTTCTTCCCAACTGTTAAAACACCGCCTGGGTTTGGGGTGACCATCGCCTTCTTAGCTGGCATAGGAGTTTCAGGGGTGCTGGCTGCTCCAGGTGCTCTGGGAGCCTCCGGCAGAGAGGATGAGGTTGAATGTGGTAGCTCTTGACCTCACAGTCCTGCTGTTCCCAACTCCAGCCCGTGAGCAACTGCGAAGGTCCCGCCACAGCCGCACATTCCTGGTGGAGTCAGGCGTGGGAGAGCTGTGGGCAGAGATGCAGGCAGGTAGGACAGAAGGAATGCAACGATTTTTCTCTGACCCTGCTGGTAACCATATACTGATGGGAAAAGGCACACTGCCTAAGCCCACCCCTTCCTCTTCCGATGCTGTATCTAACCTGGAAGTCCCTCATGGTCACCCACATCCCCACCTCACTCAGAGCCGCGCACTTAACTCCTATTCCTTCACGGGATTGCACACATGCATGCAGGGTTTGGGACCTGAGGCAGGGTTGGCGGCTGGGCAAGGGCAGAAAGGACCCCGGGCTGAGAGTTTGTGCAGGCCCTGAGTGCTTGAGCTGGCTGCCACAGGAGACCGTTACATGGTGGCAGACTGTGGGGGAGGCACTGTGGACCTGACAGTGCACCAGCTGGAGCAGCCCCACGGCACCCTGAAGGAGCTCTACAAGGCATCAGGTGAGTGGCCCAGCCGCGACCTTGCTACCCGGAGCGCTCCGGCCCCACACCGCCTCCTGGCGGCCCGGTACTCGCTGATGCCTTCTTGCCTATCGCTCCATGGCAGGAGGACCCTATGGCGCGGTGGGCGTGGACTTGGCCTTTGAGCAGTTACTCTGTCGCATCTTCGGAGAAGACTTCATCGCCACCTTCAAAAGGCAACGGCCGGCAGCCTGGGTGGATCTGACCATCGCCTTCGAGGCCCGCAAACGCACAGCGGGCCCGCATCGGGCGGGAGCGCTCAACATCTCACTGCCTTTCTCTTTCATTGACTTCTACCGCAAGCAGCGAGGCCACAACGTGGAGACAGCTCTGCGCAGAAGCAGGTGGGCCCAGAGCCAGCATTCAGGAGTTGAGGCCGGGTTTGCGATGGGGAATGTCAGGACAGGTAAAGTCGGGGGCGGGGGGGGGGCAGTGGAGGCCAGCCTGATTCGTTACACACACCGAACGGGGGAGGGGTAGGGTAGGTGAGTGTGCCCAGGGGTAAATTCACCCCTGAAATCGGAGTCTAACCTGGGCAAGGAGAATCACAGGGTGTGTATCACCTTCCGGCTGCACCAGGCCACCCTGCCAACCAGTGCTTCTTGGGTTCTCTGAGGTGAGAAAGCGGAAGCTTCTCTCCTGCGACCTCATGCTGGACTGGAGCAGGCTGTGGAGTGCAGTGGGGATAACGATCAACATCCAGCTAGTCTGCCCTGCATGCAGTGTGCAGGCAGTGAGTGCCAGGCACACCTGCCTGGGAGCAGGGGTAGGAAATGAGCAGACTCTAAGTTGCAGCAAACAGCTGTACCCTAACCTTGAGACCTGTGTCATCTTTGCCATCTACAGTGTGAACTTCGTGAAGTGGTCCTCCCAGGGGATGCTTCGGATGTCCTGTGAGGCCATGAACGAGCTTTTTCATCCCACAGTAAGTGGGATCATCCAGCACATAGGTGAGTGCCTGGCCTCATTAGGGAGAATTCCTTTTGTCAGGGCCCAGAAACAGCCACATATCCGTCCACTGGCACGAGACCCAGCATCATCTGAAACACTGGGAGCATGCAGTGTGGCTGTGATTAAGAGCTACAAGAATAATAGGAAGTCTTGCCAGGGTTGATAATACTGGGTTTCCCCAAATGCTATCCCATGGGAAAATGAGCTGAGGTGTCCAGTGGGCATGCTGTTTTGCATACAGTGTGTACACAGTTGATACTGTAAATGCACTCCATGGGGTGGTGGGAGAGAAGGGGTTTGGGGGTGGAGTGTTGGTTGTGAGGATTATTTGGTGACCCTCAGTGAAAGCACTGTTTCCCTTATCAGAAGGTGGCGAGGTGTTAAGTTGCCAGAATACAGGTGGGGCAGGACGAGTCACCAATCGCTCCTCCCCTTACCCCTTTTCCCGCCCCGCCCCACCCCACCTCACCTCACCCCAACCCATCCCATCCGGCCCTGCCCGCAGAGACGCTGCTGGAACGGCCAGAGGTGCAGGGCGTGAAGCTGCTCTTTCTGGTGGGCGGCTTCGCTGAGTCAGCAGTGCTGCAGCATGCGGTGCAGGTGGCGCTGGGCGCCCGCGGCCTGCGCGTTGTGGTCCCGCACGACGTCAGCCTTACCATTCTCAAGGGCGCAGTGCTCTTTGGCCAGGCCCCGGGCGTAGTGCGGGTGCGCCGTTCTCCACTCACTTATGGTGTGGGCGTGCTCAACCGCTTTGTGGCCGGGCGCCACCCACCGGACAAACTGCTTGTGCGCGACGGCCGTCGCTGGTGCACCGACGTCTTCGAGCGTTTCGTAGCCGCAGAGCAGTCAGTGGCCCTGGGCGAAGAGGTGTGCCGCAGTTACTGCCCGGCGCGCCCAGGCCAGCGGCGCGTGCTCATCAATCTGTACTGCTGTGCCGCCGAGGACGCGCGCTTCATCACCGACCCGGGCGTGCGCAAGTGTGGGGCGCTCAGCCTGGAGCTCGAGCCTGCCGAGGGCGGCTTGGACAGTGCTGGCACACCCCCCGGCCGCCTCGAGATCCGCGCCGCCATGCAGTTTGGTGACACTGAGATTAAGGTCACTGCTGTCGATGTCAGCACCAATCGCTCTGTGCGCGCCGCCATTGACTTTCTTTCCAACTGAGGGCGCAGCGGAGCAACCTCTTCGCCCGGCCCCACCCTCTTTCAAGGGGCTGCGGGCCTAGGAAGCCCGATAGGGATGAAGGACGCACTAGTTCAAATGTCAGTGCTCTTTTTGAGTCCTCCAGCTGGAGCGAGATGAGGTCAAGGAAGGGAGGGAGGGTGGGTGGGAGAAGACATGGAGACTCGCTCTGGGATTGGGCTTTGGTCCACTGACTGGAAGGACCCCTGCCAAGCACCAACGGGAAAGGGAGAATTCTTCGAAGAGGTGTGCAAGAGGTGCGCTCAACCTGGCGGAAGTGCCTCACACTGAAGGCAGAAGGCAGAAGAGAAGCCTGAAATGTGGGTTGCAGAATGAGGCCAAGCAAGGCAGGCTGGAGTGGGGAGGTCGTGCAGGGCATGGACCTGAAGGACCTGAGCTGGGGTTGATGGGCTTCTGTCATAGGGAAGCCAGGCAGTGCCACTGCACGTCGCAGGGAAATGACAAGTGGAAACTAGAGGAACAAGGGTAGCAGCACCTTCCTGATGTGGTGCTGGCCACACAAGGATGACCATTAACTGCAGAAAAAGACTCAGGAGGAGGGTGTGTTTTGGTGAAGGCAGTTTTGAGGGATTTGGGCATAGCATGCTGGAGGCCCTAAGGGCCACCTATGAATGGCCCTCTTGCACCTTACCCCAGCCATTCAAGGCCTGTTGGGGGAACAGGCGGCAGGGCAGAGGAAAGACTTGGGGATGGTCCCAGCGGTGCTACTGACTCCGTATGCTGACACCTGTGGGCCTCAGTTTCCCCACATGTGAAATGTCAGGAACTTACCTCCAAAGTGTCATCCCCACCTGCCTGAGAACCCATCCTAAGGTGACAATAAAGTATTTATGCTCAAGGGGAAGCTGTGGCCTGCTGGCATGCACAAGTGGAGCCCTCAATAGTGGGAACAGTAGGAACAGGGCTAGAGAAAGGAGAAAATGTTAGCTGCAGGTGGGGCTGGGAACCGGTCAGAGGGGGGTGCTGCTGCCTCCCTGTCAAGCATCCCAAACAACACCCCATCCAGTCTCCCTGAGACTCCCTGGCCAGGCGGGAGGCCCCTCCATCCAAACTGTTGCAGAGCCCGGTCCCAAGCCTACAGCGTCTGGCCTAGGCACACATCTTCTGGGCTGGGTGCTACATCACTCTGCGTGCCCCTGCCTCCTGAACGAACGCATTACCTAAGTCCTTAGTCCATCTGCTAAGGATTGTTGTCTTCAGGACCCCACAGAAAACACTGGCCTCTGGTATCCACTGGAAGTTTTATTTCTTTAGGTTTCTATCCCAACCAGTCGTCTAAAACCAGTATCACAGACCTGAGGGGTAGGAGTTGAGAGCTGCGTCTCCCCCTCCTCAGAAGGTCAGCAGGGGAAACAGCAAGGAGCAGGAGAGGCAGCTGAGGCAGAGAGCAGCAGTAATGGGGCGCCGGCATCACAAGCCACTCGGTCCTCTCCCAGGCCCTGGCTGAACCCCCTGTGGCTTGGGGTGGGCAGGAGGTAGGACCCACCCAGGCCCTCACCCTTCCCTCCTCAGATAGCCTCCTGGGGGCTCAACCATTTCTTTCAGCAGGAGACTGAGGCACATGGAGAGGAGGGGGTGGGAGAGGAAGTTGCAGGAGAGGCAGGGTGGTGGCATAAATGAAGGCATAGGTGAGAGGTGTGGGCATGGGCACAGCTGGGTCTTGGAGGCGGGGGACACTCCACACCCAGGAGGGGCGAGGAAGCCACACCATCACGCAGCAAGTTGGAGACGAGGCGGGTTAAGGCTGAGGGGCTCAGTCGAGGCAGCCACAGGGCTCAGTCGAAGCCATGCCAGTCACTGTGCTCCGAGTCATACTCCAGCTCAGCACCCACACACTTGACACCATCCAGCAGCATGGGGGTGCCGTGGTGCCGGTCTGTAAGGCGGAGATGCAAGTCAGTGTACCTGCTGCACTTGGTCCCACCGACAGGGCACACTCCAAGAGGGCTGTCCTAGGGCTTGGCTTGGAATGGGGACAACTCCACAAGGTTAGGACCACAGCCAGGCAAGCATCCTTCCCCCAGCCAGACCCATGCACCCTCTCCTCACCCATGACTCGTGCCTGCACTGTCACACGCACGTAAGCACCCACGCCGCCCTCACAGGCCAGCAACATCTCCTCTTTGAGGACTCCTTCCTTGTGCGCAGAGTACTCGCACTTCACACTGTAACCTGCCAGGGACAGGGACCGCAGGTGATCAGCAACCCCCACAGCTTCCCAACCCTGACCGAGCACTTATGTGTCCCTCCCCTCCTAAAGAAAGGAAAGTGGGAGACCCATCCTGTAAGGCGGATGCAAGGTTAGGCTGAGCAAACCTCCCAGTCCTCACAGAGCCAGCATGGCTCCAGGAGTAAGGCAGGCACAAATGCAGGCTTCCAAGGAAAAGGCCAGCCCCTCCACACACAGGAAGACAGGGAGAAGGGTGATGGAGAACAAGCAGGACAGGCTGTGAGTGGGTCAGGTGGCAAGAGGCAGGCAAAGACCTCAGGGGGTCTTGCGCAGTCCAGTGACGATCACAAGAGGTGGGAACGTGAAACAGGCTGGGGCTGCCTGCCTCCACAGTGACACCACAGGCTCTGCCAGAAGGGATGGGGTAGGCTCTGCAGCCAGCTGGGTAGGTAGAAGCAGGGGCAGCAGTAGGTTTCTTTGGGCAGGTGGAAGGGAGTTCCTCTATGGCTCCCATCACAGTGTCCTCTGCTGAGACCACCACCGGATAAGGTGCAGGCACAGGCCTGCAGTGAGAATTCATGGACTTTTGTCCAGGGAAGGAGGCTGGGACGTAGAATAGCCAAGCTGCCACACAGCAGGCCCACAGAGGTGCCATGTTCCTGAATGAGAGTGTCCCACCTTCTCCCACTCACATCCAGGACCTGCTGAAGGAGGGCCGGTCTCCAGCACCCCAAATAGGCACCCACCTTCAGGGACGGGCACGACACTGAGGAGCTTGAGGTGCAGGCTGGGAACAGGTGCCTCCCGGATGTCCTTGCTCAGCCTGTGCACTGGGGGCAGAGTGAAGGTAATCTCATATTTGTGTAGGATCTTCAGGAAGCCAACCTGCAGCAGGAAGGGTGAAGGCAGAGGCACTTGGGCCATGAGGGTCATGCCACCTGTAAGCCTTGTTACTTGTTAGCCCAGCACCTGTTTCCCTGGTATCACTCCCACTGACCCTTGCCCTAGCTGTTGGCTCCAGCCTCTCTTGACAATGGCCCTTCCCATGAGGATGACCCAATCCTCGGAGGTTTCAGAGGCCTATTTTTTAGATAAGAACTTGAAAGCCAGGAAATGACTGGCTATAGGTCACATCGTGTGACCAATGGAAAGTCTTCTCTAAACTCCTTGGCCATTGCTGCCATGTGTGGCACTCGGTAACTCACCACCCACAGCCCACAGGGAGGTTCAGAGTCATCCATCTGCTCCCACTAATAGCACCTGTCAGAGCCAATAACCCAGGGACAAAGTCAGGGACAATGGTCCTCCATCACTTATATGGAGACAGCAGGCAACACAGCATGGGATGAGACTGGATGGAATTAGATAAATGGACATCAGGCTGAGATGTAGCTCAGTGGTAAAGCTTGTGCTTAGCACATGTGAATATGCTAAAGAAACACAAGAAAAAAAAGACACTAGACCAGCTGTGTCAGTCCACAGCTGCCCACAGGCCCGTCAACAGCCACTGAACCTGCTGGCACCTCATGATGGATACCTGCCTTCCTCCTACTCAGAGGCTCAGTGCCCAGCGGCCTGGTCTGAGGAATTTCTGTTGTTCGCACACAGTGCCTGGCAACCAACACCGTCCTTCTGACACAGATACCACCCTTGGAAACTTCAATAGTGTGAAGGGTCACAAGCTGGGGTGGCTGCTGAGCGGGTGACTGCGGGTCCAGCAGGTGCAGGGGCACTGCTGTCAGCTAGCTTTTGTGGGTACATAGATTCCTGCACAATTACAGGGGCTGACGCACCCTTTGCTGTAGGGGGCAGAATGGGAATGGCTGCATGGAGCTCTTAGCCTTCCAATGGGACCAGGGTGATGTCACCACATGATAAACCAACCCATGCTCAGCTGTTGGCGGGGCACCTCAAAGAGGATTTCTGGTTGTACTTGCCCATTGTGACCCTACAGCACAGCTGGACCACTTGCAGGATTCTCCAGAGAATACTCAAGAGATATGCAAAACAATACTCACCAGCACCCTATCTATAACAGAAAAACACAAATAACCGTAACACCCAGGACCAGGAAAGCAGCCAAGTCAATGATGATACATATGATGGAATACCAGGCAGGTGTAAAGACTCCTGGAAAGTTATTTTCTAACACAAGGAGATAGTTTACAACAGAAGCAAGCAAAAGAACAATGTGTCCAGCCTGCATAATGGCACACGCCTGTAATCCCAGCACTAGGGAGGCTGAGGTAGGAGGATCACTCCAAATTTGAGGCTAGCCTGGGATACACAATGAGTTCAAGGCCAGCCTGAACTGCCCAGTGAGATCCTGTCTCAAAAAACAAAACAAAACAAATGTTTTAGAAGCAAAACTAAAAAGAAAGGAAGGAAGGAAGGAAAGAAGAAAGTAAGTTAAAATGACATGACATAAAAAAAAAAAAAAACTAGCCAGGAAGTATAAGCGTCAGCCGGTCAAGGTCATGAGTTCAATCCCTAGTACAAAAAGAAAAATATTAACCATCAATATACCTGAATAGATAACTGTGGCTACTTTTAATTTTTCTCTTACTTAGTTTTTGCTAGGGATCAGATCCAGGACTTTGTACATGCTAGGCAGGTGCTCTACCACTGAACATCCTTGACACCTTTATGTTTTTCTTTGTCTCCCAAATTTTCCCTAACCAAGAAGAATGGCTTTTGCAAGGTGGGAAGGAAACTGTTTTTAAAAGTTTTGGTTTGTTCAGTTTTCCCTTCAGGAAATCCATCAGCTACAGAGAAAGAATGAAGATCTTAGAGTTAGAAATGGATACAAACTCGATCCCCTTTCTTTCTACTCTCATCCTTTTTCCTCTCCTTACTGGACTTTCTCCCCGCCCCACCATTCTTCATTACTGGGGCTTGGACTCAGGCTTTCACATTGAATGACAGCCTTTTTCTATTTTTTGTTTTGAGACAGTGTCTCACTGAGTCACTAAGTTGCCCAACCTGGGCTTGAACTTGTAACCCTTCTCTCAGTCTCCTAGGCTGTTAAGATTATAGGTGTGTACTACTGCACCCATCTTGGGTTCCTTTTTGAGCAGGCAGCAAGTCCCTCTTTCAGGCAGTCTCCATGGACTAGACCTCTGCCCTCAACCACAGGTCACTCTACCCAACTCTGTGGACCCCTGGCTCTTTCACCTGAAGGCCTAAACCTCTGTTCAATCCAAGTTCTACAAAAAGTCTCTCCTGCTCTTATATGTGGACATGGAACCAACAGTGTCATAGCAGTTGGATGAGCCACACAGGTAGGTGTCTGAAGGAAGTGCTCCACCAAATGGTAAGAGCTGGGGGTGTAGCTCTGTGACAAAGCATTTACAAAAAAATCTATGAGGGGCTGGAGATTTAGCTCAGCGGCGTGAGTGCCTGCCTTGCAAGTGTGTGGTAGTGAGTTCAATCCCTGGTACCAATCCAAAAAAAAAAAAAAAAAAAAAAATCTATGTGCAAAGCCCTGGATTCCATCTCTGGCACCAAAAAATTAAAAGTGTGGAAGGGAATGAATACCACTACAAAAAACTACATGAACTAGAGATTTGGTAAAGAGTAAAAAGTCGTACTTTGTTATCGCCATAATGAGCTTCACTTTTTTTCTCCTCCCCTCCCCGGGCTTCACTTCTGTGCCCACACACCATTCTCACACC